TCAGTGGTTGGAATATAAACTGGTGTCAACCTTTTTGGAGTGAAATTTAGTAGTACCTATTTGGGATGCTCTTGGGACTAGCAATTTCACTTCTAGGGACTCTCCTTCAGATAAATATAGATTTTAACTCAAAAACACAGGGAAATATGTACAAGGATATTCACTGCAATGTTATTTATAACAGCTAAAAAGTGTAGATAATTTAAATGTCCTTCTATAGAAGAATTGTTAAATAAACTACAGTAAAGCCTTATTATGAAAATAAATATAACTGCTAAAAATGATGAGGTGGAGTAGGTCTATATGTACAGACTTGGAAAGGAAGCCAGGTTTGTGAATGAAAATAAGCAAGACAGAAAAATATGGATAGGTTGATCCCATTTTTCCAAATGCAACAACAAAGAAAATAGTACAAGCAATTTATCCAAAAGCAGGAAAAGTTCTGGAAGAATGCACACCAATGATCAATAGTAGTAGTTATCTCTGGTGGGGGGAGGGTAATAACACTTCCAAATTGTTTTGATTTTTTAATGAGCATATACTTCTTTTTTTCTTTCTTTATTGATTAAGGGATTACATATGTGTATGAGCATGTACTTCTACTACAATTTTTTTAAGTCAGAGAACAATAAGAAATGTGCTTGCTACCTGCTTTCAAGCAGAGAATGGAGTAGAGGGAGCCATTAGAGGTCCAAGGCAAGTATCTGAAATGAGATACCACCGAGTCATATAAATAGCACAGGTATTGAGGTCAAAAGACCTGGGGTTGAGTTCTAAAAGCTCATTAAATCTCTGAACTTTGGTTTTCTCACCTGTAAAATGGGCTGATACACCTACCTTAAAGATATATTGGATCCTGACTGGGTGGCTCAGTTGGTTGGAATATTGTCCTGTACACCAAAATGTTATGGGTTTGATACCGCTTGGGGCACATACGGGAGGCAACTGATCAATGTTTCCCTTTTACATCAATGTTCTACTCTCTCCCCCCCTCCCTTTCTCTCTAAAAATCAATCAGAAATAACAACAACAAAAGGAAGATATTGATTTTTAAAAAGAGAGAAATCAGGTATGTCAAAGTACTTTGCAAATGGTAAAGTGCTTTAAAAATCAGGGTGACATTCCTGGTTGGTAATGGCAAAGCACCTCCCTAGGTATGGAAACTGGAAAAACAAGGGCTAACACTACAGAATC